AAAAAATCCACGTTTATTTGGTCCTTGAAGAATATTCTTTAAAAAATTCCACGTTTTTTTTGGTCCTTGAAAAAAAATTCTTTAAAAAATTCACGCTCATTTGGCCCTTAAAAGATATTTCCTATGAAAAATCCTTGAATAAATATCCTTAAAAAATCCACATTTAGAGGGTCCTTCAAAAATCAAAGTATCTTCCATTGTTGCGGCATTTGTTACTTTTTTGTGTTATTTAAACATTTAACATTTATTCTTTGCATTATTATTGCTTTCCATTTAAATTCTGTTTTCATTTCTCTTTATGTTTTCTATGTTATTTAATTTCATTTTTTTTCATTTAAATTATTGCCATAGTTAACATTTCAGTTGCTTCCTGTTTGCTCGCTCGCTCTCTTTCTCTCTCTCCCTTTCTCTCGCTGTTTTCTCTTTTATTAATTCATTTTCATTTCCAGCGCAAATATGCAAGTTTTATTATTGTGTTATTAAATGAAAAATATATATTGATACAATATTTAATATTTCATTTTGTGGTATTTACATTTAGCCTTTATTTGCCGTACATTTTATTTTTATTCTCTTGTAATGCTTTTTGGTGTTTTTTTGTTTCAATGGGGCTTTTGAAGTTGTTGTTATTGTTTTTTTTTTCGGTTCATCACATAAAACCATTATGATGAGTGTTATGTGTCATCATCACGTGGAGAGAGGGGATTTATTTAAAATGTTAATTTATCTACTGGGTCCTGGGTGGGTTAATTGTGAGTGACCATTCACAGGGAGGTACTCCACCTCAATCTCCCCCCCAGGGGTTGAATATATTCAATTATTGATATTGCCTGCTGTAATTAATAAAAATATATGTGTGTTGGCTTTTGTTTGCATAAAACTTTATTGAATTTTCCAAGAGAATAAATTTGTGCATTTCCTTCAGCATTGTTTAACCAGAAAAAAAATGGCAAATTGTTGTTAAACACAAAAATGTTTTAAACGAAAATATTGAATTTTTACTTTTAACTTTCACCAAAAATTCCTAAGAGAAACCAGAAATATGTCAGCTCCCTTCTTTTTTTCCAAAATAAATAATATTTATATCATCAACGTGTGTAACTGTGTGTGCGTGTGTGTGCATTTGTTATTTTATCACTTTGCTTTGTCATTATTTAATTAACTGTGGTTGTTGTTTGTGCAACCCCAAAAAATAATTTATAATAAAATGCCATACAAAGTGGTTGAAATTAAATATTTGCCTAACCACATTCAGTTTACACATTGTTGTTGTTGTTGGTGTTGTCATAAAAACATTGTCTAGTGTCCCACTAATAATAATATATAAATTAATTACAACCCAAAAATAGGCTTAAATTGAAATGCTACTAGGCCGAAAAACATTCACACGCACCCATATCTGTGTGTGTGTGTTTGAAAAGTAAACCACTCAAATGCCAGAGTTTATAAATAAATAAATTTCATTAGCCAAATTTTGTTTAGTTAAAATGTAATTTTGAATAAAATTACAAAATAAATAAAATATAGGAGAGAATATAATTTTGAACAATTTTTGGATATCATTTTAATGGACCAACAGATAAAATAAGTGTGAATTTCTAAATGAATCAAGGGCCATTCAAAGCACGAACTTGGAAAAATATATTTTCTCAACCGAAAGAGAGGGGGCAAGTTTTCCCCTTTTGGGAAATTTCGTATTAAGATTCCTCGAAATCCGTGCATTTTAAGTATATAATGTCTTCGGCAATATTCCAGATAAAATTACGAGGAATATCTTGATTTTAAGCAAGTCACACAAAGGGTGATTTTGGTTCTTTTTCGAAAATATGACTCAAAACTCCCTTTAAACGGGATCGTAGCAAGTCAAAATATTCCAAAACAGGAATTGTCATAAAATTCCTCTATGGGTCATAGAATTCGTCAAGAATCTAAATCTAACCTTAATACCATTAATTCGTATTTACTAAAAACACATTTTAAGGTTAAATCCGCACTTTGTGGGAGTTTATGCAAAAATCTCAAATAAAGCTTCATTTTAGAAGGATAATGTCGAAGGAAAAAATATTCCTCATCAAATTTTACCATAAGTCGCCAAAGAAAACAAATCTCCATTTCTATTTTATATATAAAAAAAAAACAAGTTAAATATTATCTGTTATGAGTTATGATTATTCTAACTGTTAACCCATTTATGGGGGAGGTTCCGAAGCAGTTGGCCAATATTATTCAATTCATATCTGACCTAAGTCCGATATAAATATTACAACGTGCCACATTTGGACTATATCGTCTACTTCCTATACTTTTTTATGAGATGTGTGCCATTTTTCGGAAAATGTGAAAATATGCGTGAGGTACCAGCTATAGCGGAGCGAAATATTCCACTTCGTCTATTGCATATAAAAATATTTAAAGGGATTCGATTCAAATTCTATTTAAAGCAATGCGATTCAAATTTTATATCATAAATTCCGATTAATTACATATTCATATCAGATTTCTGGCTAAGAGAATTGTTTTACAGATATAGGTACTGGAAATTGTTACATTTTATGGTTGAAGTACCGGAATGGGTTGGCAGATATCTATCATGTGCACAAGAGATTTTGTTGGAGTTCGAAGCTTATGTCGCGTTTTATGATCGTTTCGTTTTTCAAAAATGTTAACCCTTCGTGGGGAAGTACCAGAAAGAGTGCGCCGATGTATCCCATTTTCACAGCAGATCTTGTGTTAGTAAAAATGTTTGTATGTGCGAAATTTGAAGACAACCGGATGTTGATCCTTTGTGGGGTAGGTACTTGATGGAGTGGACCGATTTTGTCCGTTTTCGCACCTGACCTACAACTGATATAAATATTATGATTTGCAAAGTTAGAGCATAATCGGATTATCCTTTCTCTCTCTCTCTCTGCAGTAAAATATTTTCTTTGAAAATTACGATATTTTTTGGGGGAGGTACCAGAAGAAATGGTCCGATCTCTACCATCTTCATAACAGATCTTGTGTTGATGGAAATATTGAGATGTACCAAGTCTAAATGGAATCGGATTGTAATTTCGCGTTTTATGAGAGTCATGGTTAATCAATATTTTGACCCTCTGTGGGGGAAGTACCAGAAGGAATGGACCGATATATTCCATCTTCACACCAAACTTTGGGTTAGTCAAAATATTGTGATGTGTGTAATATGAAGAGAACCGGATGCTTATTTCGGATTTTATAATCGTTTTGGTTATTCAAAACTTTGACCCTTTGTGGGGGAGGTACTAGAAGGAATTGTCCGAAATCTATGTGCCAAGTCTTAATGGAGTCGGATGTTAATTTCGCGTTTTATGAGCTTAATGGATATTCAAAATGTTGACCTTTTGTGAGGGAGATGCCAGAAGGAGTGGACCGATAAATTCCATTTTCATACCAGACCTTGGGTTAATAAAAATACTGTTATGTGTGTAATTTGAAGACAATCGGCCTCATATTTCACATTTTATAAGAGATATAATTATTCGAAATGGGAGGTACTTGTTGGAGTGAAACGATATTGTTCATTTTCGCACCTGACCTGGAACTGATGCAAATATTAAGAATTACAAAGATTGAGGAAAATTGCAATATCCCTTTTCTTTCTGTGCAGTAAACTTTTTTTGTGGAAAAATTCGACTTTTTGTGGGGGAGGTACCAAAAGGAATGGCTCGATCTCTACCAACTTTATACCAGGTCATGTGTTGATAGAAATATAGAGATGTGTCAAATCTGAATTAGATTGGATGTTAATTTCGCTTTTTATGAGTTCCATACATTGAGATATGTTTCCCAATATTTAGTTTAGAGCCCTGTGATTTGATAAAAAATCTTTGGATTATATCCAGAATCATTGGGACAGAAGATCAGTCATATCGGTGAACTTTTTGAAACAGTCCCCTAGAAGCTCTATATACAAAAAAATATATCAATATAAGTCCACATTTCTATTTTTATTTTATGATAAAAACATCTGCTTCAAGTTATTGCAAGGTAAACGTGCATCTTTCCCAACCTTCTTTATAAATATTTTTCAAGGACATTCAACTTTTTTTAATGACCAAAAGGCCAACAAACCTTTCTTTTCTAAATATTTTTATGTCGACGGCCAAAAAAAGCAAGAATTTTTTTAAGATTTGTATTTCAGGAATCGAAAGACCAAAAAACGTAAACTTTTTGCCTAATATATGGGAGGTATATCCAACTCTGGATCGATTTCAATCAATTCTTTACGTATTTGTACCTCTCTGTACTACAGGGTGGCGTAGAGCATAAAAATGGCGCCCAGTGTTTTGTGTTTTTTTTTTTTTTTCAATTTTTCTGAGGCATTTTAATTTAATTGTTTTGTTAAGATTTTTAACAATTTATTATTAATTTATTTTTTTTATTTTAATTAATTTTAAGTTATTATATTTTTACTAAATTAAATTTTATTTTACTTTTAATTTAATATAATTCGTAATTGTAGCAAATTTCGTATTTTAAGTTCGTAATAGATACACGTCCACGTCTTCGTATAGCCCCCATATAACGGGTTTCATTTAAGTGGTAGTTTTCGATTTTTTTTTTTTAAATTTTCAAATTCCTTCCAAATGGTTGAGGATATTAAAAGTTTGGCCGGACCGAACTTAGCTGCTTTTTTACTTGTTTCAATTTTTTGTGACACTTTAATTTAATCGTTCTGTTAAGATTATGAACAATTTAGTTTCAATTTAAATAATTTTAAGTCATTTCCTATTTTTTTTAATATAATTTTACTTTATTTTTAAAATAATTTATTTATTTTATATAATTTATTTATAATTTAATTTATTTAATTTAATATAATTTTAAATTTAATTTGTATAATTTTAAATTATTTAATTTAAATTAGTCATATTTCAATAATATTTTATTGTTTTATTTTTCTCTTCACAAATTTGTCAATGAAATACTAATGAGAAATTTTTCTTTTTTCTCTCTCTCTCTCTCTCCCTTTACAGTCCAAAGAACCTCTCAACGAGCAGGGCACTGAATGTGTTTAAGCCAGAGTGTGCCAAAGGGTTTTGCATACCAAAAAAAGATCATAACAACAAATTCAGACTCATTTGAAAAAAAAAAACAACAACATCAATACTTTTCAAGTCTGGCAATTTACTAAAGATCATATAATTCATGGAAACCAACAACAACAAAAGACTTAATAGTTTTATCCAAAAAAAAAAATAAGCAAAAGACATAAACAAAAAACTTTAACAACAGAAGGCTAAAAGTCTTCTCAAAAAAAGAAAAACATTTTAAAAAAGAGGATATTTAAAAAAACATTTTTGGAATATTCTTTTTTTGTATTTTAGGAAATTAATTGAAGGGAAATATTACACCAACAACCACCACCACTACAGCTACAACATCAAACATGCTAAACCTTATACAAGAACATCAAACAAACAAACAACCCAAATACAGTTCCCCTCTCAGACAACAACAAACAACACTACCATCACAACTAAACCTGCACATGTTTTGGCCACTTTCAAAAAGACTTTTTGTCCTCCCCCCTCCAACAAGGATTCAGACGGATAATAAACAACTCGTACAACAGTCAACTCAAGTCCTTTGAAGAAGAACACACAGAAACAAAACAAACGGCAAATGTTTAAGAAAATGGAACACACCTTCCGCCCCTCCCCCCTCTCTCTCTCAAAACATTGAACCACAAAACCATATAACCAACTTGATGTGGTCAAGTCGCATATATATAAAATATATAAAGAAAAGAGGGGAAACCACTCAAAAAGCTCCATATACCCTCAGGCCACAAATGCTTGAACACCCACACAAACACACATGGAAACAAACAAACCAATAATACACAACCACACACATAGAAGCACTTAAACACTCATGTTTACATTTATTTCAATATTAAATAGTTAAAAACGGAAAAACGGAAAAACAGCAACCAATAAAGAAATGCAAGTCCTGCCATGTTTTTTTTCGATTTAAAAAAATTTAACATAGCAAAAAAAGTCCAACTCTTTGTTGGATTTCAGTTTTTTTAGGAAAATTTTTAAAGCAAATAACCTTCATTTTTCCCCACATAATAAAAAATAACGGAGTTGAGTAATTCAAACAAGGATAATATGTATTAAAACACAGTTGTATATAAATAAATGAAAAATGAAAATTAAAAAAAAAAAAAAATTATGAAAAAAAATTTTTTGGTTTTTTGCCAATCACTGTGCAGCAAAAGAATTTTTTATGGACCCCAAAAAAATGGAAATTTTTGAGGCGAGATGAAAAGAAATTTCTCAAAACCTCCAGTAATCCAAATTGAAACGAATTTGAAGGGGCCATATAGGGTCACTATAGTTGGGAATTTTTTTAGGCGAGTTATGGAAATGAATTTTTCAAAATCTTCTGTGGTCGAAGTGTAATCGGATTTTATGATGCAATTTTGATTTTTTTTTAAATTTTTTTGTTTCGAAATCCTACAGAATATTAGTACTTTTTGAAAATTAGATTATGGATGATTGGGCGCCAAATGTCCTATGTCTGGATTCAAATATTTTTGGTTAGAAAAAAAACATATATATTTAAATTCCAAAAAAAACTGTAATTTATTAAAAAAAAAATCAAAATTAATTTTTAAAAATTTTTTGGGTTTTTGTTCAACCCTTTATCAGAAATTTTTAAAATCCAGCACACATCCCAATTCGATTTCCAGCACATTTAATGTAATTTTTCTCAATCTGCATGTGGATTCTGGTTTAATTGAGACCCATTTACTTCTATTTTTGTAATTTTTTTCCTGCTTGGGCGCCATCAACAATGTAAAGATCGCATTTATTGCCTGATCGAAATGAAATTTTGCACAAATCATTTGTTTGGCATATACATATAGCTTCGTCCGATTTGTCTTCTATTGAGCACCAAATGTAAAATTTGGTGAAAATTGGTTCAGATATAGCTCTCACACATATTTTTTATCCGATTTGTTAATGTTGTGCCTCACAGCCGCAGTATGCGCTCCATAACAACTATATTTAGGAAAATATATCAAATACAGCTCAGAAATGCCTTTGCCAAATGTTATCGAGATCGGTTCAGATATAGATGTAGCTCAAACGTTGTTCATATCTCTATTTGGGCTCACTTCACTTCACTTTTTTTGAAAATTCTGGATAAATTGAGTTTAAAAGGAATTATGTTGAATTTGGCGAAAATCAGTTCAGATATAGCTATAGCTACCACATATATTGTTAATCATAATTGTTAATTTTGTGCCCCACAGCCGTAATATGCGCTCCATAACAACTTTATTTGGGAAAATATATCAAATACAGCTCAGAAATACCTTTGCCAAATGTTGTTATTGGGATCGGTTGAGATTTGGATGTAGCTCAAATGTTCAAATTTTGGGGAGCCAATTTTTTTCTTTCTTTATCGGAACATTTTCGTAATATTCCTTTTTGAACCTTTCCCCTGTTTGGGCGCCAAATGTAAAACTCCTGACACCAAATTTTGTGAAAATTGTCGTAATATTCCCATTTGAACCTTTATCCTGTTTGAACTCCATTTTACTTTTTTGGAAATTCGAAATATGTTTTTGTTCCTTTTTCTGTTAACCTTTATGCTTGGGCGCCACTTTTACATTTGGGAAAAAATTCACAACAATCCTTAGAAATCATTTTCGCTGTTTGGACGCCAAATATCCTACTCTTGGATATTTTTAAATTAAAAAAAAAGTCTCAGTTATTTGAGTTCCACTTAGATTCGGAACTTAAAAAAAAAGAATTTAAAAAAATAAAATAAAATTTCACTTGGGTCAGTTCAATAGAATCAATTTTAAGATGTTCATAATATTCCTTATTGAACCTTTCCCCCCGAAAATTAAAAGCTTGGGCGCCACTTTTTCTTGTTAAAATTTTTCATAACAATCTTTTGAGCAGTTTCCCTGTTTGGACGCCAAATATCCCACGCTTGGATATTTTTACCTTAAAAAATTGCCATTATTTGATTTCTACTTATTTTCAAAAAAAATTATAAAAATTCCTCTTAGGTCCAAAAAATTAAAGCCAACGAAGCAAAAATATTCCAAAAAAGGATAAAAATAAATGAATACAATTTAAAATTATTTTTTTAATAGATTTGTATAATCGAGAACTATTTAACGCTTATCACATCAAATTTTGTGCAAATTTTCTTAATATTCCCATTTGGGCGCCACTTTTTTTGAAAAATTTTATTTGAGTTCTACAAATAAAAATTTAAAAAAAAATTATAAAAATTCCACTTGGGTCAGTTCAAAAAAAAATGATGTCAAAATACAAAAATAATTAAAAATATAAAAAATAAAAAATAAATTGAGAAGTAATTGATACTTATCACATCCAATGACACAATTTGTGCCAATTTTCCTCATATTCCCATTTCGGCGCCACTTTACTTTTTTTGAAAATTTTTAAATTATTCCTTTTTCAACCTTTCCTCTGAACCTTTAATGCTTGGACGCCACTTTTACTTTTATAAAGATTTTCATAATATGTCGTTTTGAACGCGTTCCCTACTTGGGCGCCACTTTTCTAAATTATTCTTGTTTTTTCATCTTTTAAAATATTCTGGTTTAATTGTGACCGAAATAAAGTTACCTTTATGAGCCATAATCATGCTTGGGCGCCACTTTTAATTATTGTTTTTTTTCCTATTTTTATAAACTTCCATTTTTTCATAATATGATAGATTCTGTTTTAGTTCAAACTTAATTCAGTTTTCCTTTCGAAGAATAATCTTGCTTGGGCGCCACTTTAATTATTATATTTTTATTTATATTGCTTATTTTTACGCTGATTCCATTTAATTCATCTTTAAGCAGTTTTCTGTTTAATTGAGTCCAAATTAAAAGTTCTTTCACAGCCATTATCATGTTGGGGCCAATTTTAATTTTTTACTTATTTTCATAATAAGCCTCTTTGAGCCGTTTGCCTTTTTGGGCACCAGATATCCCACAGAAAGGGTCACCACCGATTTGGTTGCCCAGGAAAAAGTTTTTTTCGTCCCTATTTCATATCCACCTATGTTGGTCCATAGAATTAATAATTTGTTGCACAGTGAATTACGAAAAAATAAACTATTTTAAAAAAAAATTATAAATATTTTTTTGGTGTTATAAAAAATCATAAGAAAACAATCCATCCTTTTGTTGTGTTAAACACAATTAAAAATTTTATTTTTTTCGTTATTTTTAATTTAAACAAAAATCGTTTTTTTTTTTTTGGCTTTTCAATCTGATTTAAAAAATCTACTCTTCTTTGTTCATTTCAATTAAAAAAAAAAAACAATTTTAAAAATCCATATTTTTTTTCTATTTCATTTGATTACCACACATTAAAATAAAACCCCAAATTAAAAACAATATAAATTTCAAATAACAAAACACAACTTGTAATTAAATTAACAATGAAAAAAAAACCAATAGATATACATTTTATAAAACTAAAAAAAAACTAGACAAAAATTTAAAAACTCACCAATTTAACTAAAAAAAATATCCCAACCCCCCAACTTTGTATTAAATGTGAAATTGTAAAATTTTTTAAACAAAAACTCAATTTATAAAAACAAAAAAAAAAAAACAATAATAAACAGTAACAACAACTCTTAAAAATAATTTTTAATGAAATTGTAAAGTTTTATGAAATAAGTTTATGGTATAAATATACATATAAATACTTATAAATAATAACTAAACAAAAACATGAAATGAAGGTTAAATATATATTAATTTAGTCAAGAAGTAACAAAACACTAAACTAAACAAAAACAAAATGGAACATTAAGAAGTAACCTAAAAAATGGATTTAATATAAATTATAACAACAACAACAAAAAAACAGTAAAGTAAATGGTAATGAAAAAAAAAACAGAATGCTCAGTAACGTAAAATAATTATAATGTTTTTTTTTTTGTGAAATAAAAAATAATGAAAATAAAGTAATTAAATGATGAAGAAAAAAAATCGAATCGTATTTTTTACTGAAAACTAAAATAAGTCACAAAAGGTAAGTATGGTAAAACTCATATACATATTGTTGGTGAAATACATGTTTAGGATTTTTGGAGCATATTTTTGGGCGCTCCTTACAATTTCCTTAAATTTAAAACACTCTTTGAAGTAGTGTATGAGTCGATATTCGGTTTTATGGTATAGTATTGCATTTCATATAAGTTTAAAAATTGTCAAAGAGCGCCTAGGCATATGTTACAATAAATTCTGCAAAAAAAATAATTTACACATGACTAACAAAATGATATATTGTTAATCATATTTGTTAATTTTGTGGCCCACAGCCGTAGTATGCGCTCCATAACAACTTTATTTGGGAAAATATATCAAATACAGCTCTGAAATACACTTGCCAAATGTTATCGGGATCGATTGAGATTTGGATGTAGCTCAAATGTTCAAATTTTGGGGAGCCAATTTTTTCTTTTTTTATCGGAACATTTTCGTAATATTCCTTTTTGAACCTTTCCCCTGTTTGGGCGCCAAATGTAAAACTCCTGACACCAAATTTTGTGAAAATTGTCGTAATATTCCCATTTGAACCTTTACCCTATTTGGACTCAATTTTACTTTTTTGGAAATTCGAAATACGTTTTTGTTAACCTTTATGCTTGGGCGCCACTTTTACATTTGTGAAAAAATTCACAACAATCCTTTGAAATCATTTTCGCTGTTTGGACGCCAAATATCCTACTCTTGGATATTTTTACTTTAAAAGATCGTCGTTATTTGAGTTCCACTTATATTCGGAACTAAAAAAAAAGCATTTAAAAAAATAAAATCAAATTTCACTTTGGTCAGTTCAGAAGAATCAATGTCAAGATGTTCATAATATTCCTTATTGAACCTTTCCCCCCGAAAATTAAAAGCTTGGGCGCCACTTTTTCTTGTTAAAATTTTTCATTTCCACGCTTGGATATTTTTACCTTAAAAAATTTCCGTTATTTGATTTCTACTTAGGTTGGGAACTACAAAAAATTATTTTCAAAAAAATTATAAAAATTGCGCTTCCAGAAAAATTAAAGTCAACAAAGCAAACATTTTTCAAAAAAGGATAAAAATAAAAGAATAAAATTAAAAAATATATTTTTTTTTAATTTAATAGACTTGTATAATCGAGAACTATTTAACGCTTATCACATCAAATTTTGTGCAAATTTTCTTAATATTCCCATTTGGGCGCCACTTTTTTTGAAAATTTTAAAAATTATTTGAGTTCTACAAATAACAATTTAAAAAAATTATAAAAATTCCACTTGGGTCAGTTCAAAAAAAAAAATGATGTCAAAATACAAAAATAATTAAAAATATAAAAAATACAATTAAAAATTATTTTATTTTAAATTCTTGTTAAATTGAGAAGTAATTGATACTTATCACATCCAATCACACAGTTTGTGCCAATTTTCCTCATATTCCCATTTCGGCGCCACTTTACTTTTTTTTTGAAAATTTTTAAATTATTCCTTTTTCAACCATTCCTCTGAAACTTAAATGCTTGGACGCCACATTTACTTTTATAAAGATTTTCATAATATGTCGTTTTGAACGCGTTCCCTACTTGGGCGCCACTTTTCTAAATTATTCTTGTTTTTTCATCTTTCAAAATATTCTGGTTTAATTGTGACCGTAAGAAAGTTACCTTTATGAGCCATAATCATGCTTGGGCGCCACTTTTAATTTCTGTTTTTTTTTCCTATTTTCATAATCTTCCATTTTTCATCATATAATAGATTCTGTTTTAGTTAAAACTTAATTCAGTTTTCCTTTCGAAAAATAATCTTGCTTGGGCGCCACTTTAATTATTATATTTTTATTTATATTGCTTATTTTTACGCTGATTCCATTTAGTTTCATCTTTAAACAGTTTTCTGTTTAATTGAGTCCAAATTAAAAGTTCTTTCAGAACCATTTTCATGCTTGGGCGCCAATTTTAATTTTTTACTTATTTTCATAATAAGCCTCTTTGAGCCGTTTGCCTTTTTGGGCAACAGATATCGGGTCACCACCGATTTGGTTGCCCAGGAAAAAGTTTTTTTCGTCCCTATTTCATATCCACCTGTGTTGGTCCATAGAATTAATAATTTGTTGCACAGTGAATTACGAAAAAATAAACTATTTAAAAAAAAATTATAAATATTTTTTTGGTGTTATAAAAAATCATAAGAAAACAATCCATCCTTTTGTTGTGTTAAACACAATTAAAAATTTTATTTTTTTCGTTATTTTTAATTTAAACAAAAATCGTTTTTTGGCTTTTCAATCTGATTTAAAAAATCTACTCTTCTTTGTTCATTGCAAATTAAAAAAAAAATTAAAAATCCATATATTTTCTATTTCATTTGATTACCACACATTAAAATAAAACCCCAAATTAAAAACAATATAAATTTCAAATAACAACACACAACTTGTAATTAAATTAACAATGAAAAAACAATAGATATACATTTTATAAAACTAAAAAAACACTAGACAAAAATTTAAAAACTCACCAATTTAATTAAAAGAATATCCCAACCCCCCAACTTTGTATTAAATGTGAAATTGTAAAATTTTTTAAACAAAACTCAATTTATAAAATAAAAACAAAATAAAACAGTTAAAAATAATAAACAGTAACAACAACTCTTAAAAATAATTTTTAATGAAATTGTAAAGTTTTATGAAATAAGTTTATGGTATAAATATACATATAAATACTTATAAATAATAACTAAACAAAAACAACAGAAATGAAGGTTAAATATATATTAATTTAGTCAAGAAGTAACAAAACACTAAACTAAACAAAAACAAAATGGAACATTAAGAAGTAACCTAAAAAAATGGATTAAATATAAATTATAACAACAACATCAAAAAACAGTAAAGTAAATGGTAATGAAAAAAAAAAAAAACAGAATGCTCAGTAACGTAAAATAATTATAATGTTTTTTTTTTGTGAAATAAAAAATAATGAAAATAAAGTAATTAAATGATGAAGAAAAAAAATCGAATCGTTTTTTTTACTGAAGACTAAAGGATGTCGCAGAAGGTAAGTATGGGAACATTGCTAGAGGGTTGGCTTATACATCATGTTAGTGAAATATATATTTATCATATTTAGAGCATACTTCTAGGCGCCCTTACATTATTTTGTAAATTGCAAATAAACTCTGAAATATTGTATGAATCGATATTTTTATAGCATAAATATACAGGGTGAGATAAAAAAAAACTGCAACAAAGTCAAACGGGATAATTTTTATTTTTTTTTTTTTAATTTTATTGATTGAAAGAAAACAATGTCGGAAATAGCATCAATTTCTTGAATAAGTTTAGATTTGTTTGAATTGGTTACCTTTGGTACGAATTATGGCCTTCACACGGCCAATGAAACCGTCACACGCTGCCCGAATGTTGCTCTGCGGTATTTTGGCCCATTCCCGTGGAAGCGCTTGCCTGGGGTGATCGACACTTTGGTATTTTTTTAGTGCCGACATTGCTTTTCAAAATACTCCAGACACAATAGTCCAACGGATTGGTATCCGGAGATTTTGGTGCGAGGAACCTCATATTGTAACCATTCTTGGGTGGCACGTGCTGAGTGCGATGGTGCTGAGTCCTGTTGGAATGTCCAAGGTCTTTGCCCAAAATGTTTGCGTGTCCAAGGCTTTAATACACCCTCCAGAATATTTTCGCGATAATATTCGGCATTTATTCTGATGCCACGGTCGATTAATACGAGCGGAGAGCGACCATCGGATGTTATGGCGGCCCACACCATCACCATGGCCGGCGCTTGAGTTCTGGTGGCCAACCGAAGGTGCACATTTTCACCTGTCCTCTTTGGCAAGTAAACACGATAATTTTGTTTGTTTACAAACTGCTGGACAACGAATGGTTTCTCATCGGAGAAAACCAAATCCGGCAGTTCACCACTTTCGGCCAAGCGAAGCAACTCTTTAGCTCTTTTGAGTCTATTTTTTTCTGTTGCGGTGTAAGTTCTTGCACTTTTTGGAATTTCAATGGCTTTATCCCGAGCTCATTTTTTAATATTTGCCGAATGGAGTGTTGCGATATGTTCAGCTCACGAGCCATTTTTCGGCCACTGCGACGCGGGTTTCGATCAAGTCGCTTCTCTATTTTTTCGAACCATTTTTGCTGATGTTTCTGTTTTCTTCCGTCCACTTCCTTGACGTCGGGCTACGCTACCAGTTTCACGGTAACGAGTGATGGTACGAGACACAAAGTATTCATTCACATTTAAATGCTGGAGTGCTCTAACGGTAGCCACTTGTGGTGTAGGATAACTCATTTTGCTGTAGTACCCATTAACCTCTTCAAATACGAAATTCAAACCAATTCCGCTGAATAATGTCGAATAAAATCCCCAAAATACCGAATATCGTGAGTTACCGTTTTATGGGGGCGTGGACCTCAATTCGTTCGAAAGATAGCGTGATTACAACAGACAGACAGACGGACATCGGAAAATCTTAGAATTTTACGCTGATCCAGAACATATATACTCTGTAGGTTGTATCATAAATATTTCGAGAAGTTGAAAAAGGAATGACAAAGCTAATATACCCTC